ATTTTCCTCAAAAATGACCGCAATACTTTGAACTTATTTGAAGAGCAAGTTTCCAGCGAAGTAGTGGCACCATGTCAATCAAAAACAGCATACGTCACTACTTGGGACCTCTTCTCGTTTTTGCATTGTCGGTTTAAGATCTTGTTTTTCAGCTCAAAAGTCGAAATAAAATGAAACGGTGAGCGTGATTCTTTAGAACAAAAGAAAAACTTCAAAAAATCTATAGAGTTTGGTCAACAATTTGAAACAGTGCATGAAATGAGATAAGCGTCAGCAGAAAACTAAAAGAAATCACTTAATAACCCAAAATTTGGTCATATATAGTATGCATTTCATGATACAAATTAAAAGATATGTCTATATGAAAGTGGTTAAAAACTGATTATAACAGGAAATGAGCATGGGAGAGGAAAATTTTCAACTAGAAGTTTTCTAGAAAGCTCTCTTCATTTAACATAAACTACATTTAAGCTGGTTGCACAGATGAATCCATTATTTATGGAAGGCCTACAAAATTCAAATAACCTTACCTTAGCTTCCTGAAACATTAGAGCAGTGGTGAGACCATCATCTGGGAAAATTACTCTTCCATCACGTAAATAGTTGAGAATGTACTTGAACACGGTAGGATCGCGATCGATGAAGACCTCGCCCTTCTGAAAGACAAAAAACTAGAAATTAATACTTAAAATGACATTTATGAATGCTCTAACTTACTGCATAATCCATGCTAACGAAGATACTATTTTCTGCGGCTGCCGAGTTTCTAAGCGTATCGACAGTCGTGTAGAATCTGGTGCCACCAACGTTCAAAATCACAGGAGACGCTGACATGGTAACGAGAAAAGGAGATTCAACAGGAATAAGGATGGAGAGAGGATTTTGTTATCTAGCTGAGAAGTTCTTATACGTAGTGGCTGGCGACACGTGTCCTCTTTTAGGTTGGCAAGTGTTGAAATCCTTGTAGCGACGGTAACGGACAGCGATGGGGCGGTGCGAGTAGCACTGTGATTCATAATTCCGTATCACGCTT